GCATGTTTCAATGCAAACATTCCTTCCTTTTTTCCTTCACCACCTAATGCTTGTTAACAATAAAACTAGATCAGATATACAGAATATATAGACCAGCGCACTGATTAATACAGACCAGTCTTCTCCACAGTGAACAACATCCATAAAACAAGGCCAATTTGTCATCCAAACCATATGATGGAAGAATGAATTCTTGTTGATGTGCCTCCTAATTATACTCATCCGTGGTCTTTTTATCCATGGTAGAAGTGACTTTTGCTGATGATCCCCAAGTTTTCATTAGTCCATGACTGCCTGGTTTAACACTGGTTCTTTGTCTTAGTCAGGTTCTCTGTAGCTCGCTAGGCAAAGATGTATTTGGATACGAGTGCAAGCATTTTTTTGACAGAAATCCAAAGCAGCAGACAGAATCAGTTCAAACACACAGGCTAACAGGGCAATGCAGGCATAAGTAGGAACAGTGTCAAAACTAGAGAATGAGTGTAGATAATAACACTCATAAATGCATAATGTAATGGTGGGGAAAAACCTTGCAATAAATATGGAATGGCATAGTACTTAACTGGTGTTCAATGAATGAAAATGAGGAACAGCTGTAGTGAATCAGTTTGATGGTGACTGAGACAGAGGTAAAGTTCGGGCTGGAGTGTATTCTGGAGCAGTCGTGGCTTCCAGAGTCGTAGTGGATCCTAGTCTTATAGATGGCATAAACATTTTTAAATATTAAGACTGAAGAAGTCTTAATGTTTAAAGAAGTTTAAATATTAAAATGTTACCGTTGTGTAGTTGCTCCTATATTTCAGTAGCTGATTGTCCTCATTCCCTGACATTGTGGTAGTTTGGTTATCAGTTTACATGCCAACTAATTAACTTATGAATTAGTGACTGTGTAAGCTTCAAGCACTGTTTGTAAATTCTCGGCCAGCTGGCGTTATGCCTGAATGGAATTCAGACAGAAATCATGCATATTTATGATGAGAGCGCTGGAGATTTCAGTGGGAACCAAAGACACTGTGAGTCAAGGATCAGAAAGCAGTGCAGCTGTTTCGCTGGCCCTCACAGTGACCAACCAAAGACAATTAATGACAGCGGCACCTGTGCATATCAAATTATGGCACCTGTATGAGGGCATTGTGGAGTAAGAGACTGAATGTTTAATCATTGATTAAATGCAGAGTACTTAACATTATATTGAGTTTCTAGTAGCAACAATGTCATGTCATACGGTAAATATGGAAAATGTCCCATTCTAAATAAAACATATCAAAATAATATATTAACTATGACTTGGAATCCACCACTATATTTTAATGAGCACCTCAATGCATAATATGACAGTGTAAATTCTCTAGTTCTTTTAGAAAGCAGTTAATTCTCTGGCAAGCGAGATGTGAATCACTGTCAGCGAGTGCATGTGCATTCTTTATATGCAGCTGCAGGATGAGAAATTAAGGGCAAAAATGTGCTTTGACTGCCTCATCGAAAACACCCACTCATGTCTTTGAGCACATCTCTATCTTTTTCTCATCCCTCTCTCTCTCTCTCTCTCTCTCTCGTCATCAAGCGATTAAACGGAGAGTCTCTCTCCAGCAAGTGCATGTCTCTGCCGTCAAAACGCAAACAGACTCTTTACACTTATGATACGCCCACACATTCCAAGGCCACTGTTCAGATAGTTTTATGACACTTCTGAGTTGCTTACAGAATGTAAAGAAAATACATGGGTGGTTCTGATTTTCCACCACGTCCTTTAAGAACAATTTCATCTCAACCACTGCTTACTTGCCTTGTCCTCCTCCTCTGACACAACTGTGAATACATTTTAAGCACAAATGAAAAATTCCTTTTAAGAACACTTCCTGGGGCAAAAAAAAAAGGTTGGCTGTGTGTTAGCTATAGCAACAAGGATCAGTTAGTCTGATATTGGTGTGAAGGATGTCACTGGAGTTGATTAAATGTTCCTTCCTAATGTGTCCCTGCATTTGCTATGATTCCATATAACGATGAATCACCCATGGCTGCCTGTGAGAACAATAGAGATGTGTGTGCTGTGCTGAAGCAGCACTGGCAGCTCTATTACATGAGTACATTTATAATCAGTGCTGTTGGCTGCCCAATACTGCCGTGGTAAAGCAAGCCTTTGGATTAGTGTGAGCTCAATCCAGACTGCTTTCTATTTACTGCAATTGAAATGGCTTTGCATCACATGCTTGAGCTGTGATCTTTCTGGAGGATACTGAAATCTTCATAGGTGTTTTCTGTGTTTGTATAATTACAGTAGATAATGAAATTCAACCAGTCAATCATCAGGTCATCTAAGTTCAAATTTATTTACATGACTGCATGGTGGGTCTGCAATTCTGTAGTGAATTACATCTGACATAACATCTTATGAAAATACTGTTTTATGGATGTCAGATGAATCCACAAATACCACATTTACAGTTTCAGTTTGAAATGCTAATTCGTTTCATTTGATAATGAAATCTAATCTGTTTTTCCCCTGAATGCAGGTGTGACCAATATGGTGCTGTCTGCATTGCGAACACTGAAGTATTCCTGTGATGATATTTAGGAGCAATTTAGCTTTTATTCAAGTACCATCACTGTCATGACAGTGATCGAGCGGCGACTTAGTACATATTGGTACACATATTGTTTTGTGAGATATTTTGCAGGCCAGGTACAGATGTCACATGGGTCAGGCCATGTAGTCAGGCCACTGAGCCATTGGGCACTAGTGAAGTTCTTTTTTTTATGGAAAAAAAAAAACCACTTCTCAGCAGCTAGATGTGACTTTCGTTGTCCTCTGTGACAACATATGGTATATGCTGTTAACAGCATAAAGTTAACTGCCATGTGCTGGTCAATACTCAGAAACACAATTGACCTAAGCCATCGCCTTTTATTTTATTGATAACATTTTACAATTTATTTTACAAGAACCATCTATATCCAACAGTGCTTTGAATAAGTATTCACCCCCTTAATTTTTTTTTTTTTGTAATGATATAACCTGGAAATGAAATGGACTTAAATTTTTACCATTTGATTTACACAATGTCTAACATTTAAAGGTGCAAATTATTATATATTTTTTGTGCGTGAATGGTTAATTAAACAAAAAAGCAGACATTTGTTGCTTGCGTAAGGATTCACCCTCCTGGGTCAATACTTGCTAGAACCACGCTTGGCTGCAATTACAGCTGCAAGGCTTCTGGGATGTATCTCTATCAGTTTTGACCATCATAATCCTGATCTATTTTTCCAATTCCTCAGGCTCTGTCAGATTGGATGGAAACTATTAGTGAACAGCAATTTTCAAGTCTTGCCACACATTCTCAATCAGACTGAGATCTGGGCTTCCTTACATCATGATGCTACCACCATTGTACTTCACTTTGAGGATGGTTTTTCCAAGTGATGAGCAGTGTTGTCCTATGTGCCAAGGGCAATTTTTGCCAAGGCCAATTTTAATCTCATCAGATAAGACAACCTTTTTCCACATTTGCTGCACCACCAATATGACTTTAAGCAAAATAATATGGCTTCCTCTTCTTCCCACTCAGCCCAGCTTTGTGGAATGATATAGTTGCCCTGTATACAGCATCCCTCAACTGAGCTGTGGCTCTTTCCAGCTCCTTCAAAGTTACCATTGATTGCTTCTCTGAATAATGCTCTCATTACCTGCTCAGTGACAAGGGCAGCCTCCTTTAGGAAGAGTCACAGTTGTGCCATATTCTTTCCATTTTTTGGAAACACACAAGTTATGTGACTTATCTTATGTGATTGTGATTCAGATGGCACCTGACTGCACCAGAAATATTTATAATTATTATATATATGTATGTATATATATATATATATATATATATATATATATATATATATATATATATATATATATATATATACATACTTATTTTTTATCATTATAAATTATATTTTTTAATAAATTATTTTATGTAAAAATTTAATTATACTTTTGCAATCTATATTGATTAGCCCCCCTCCCCATCCAACCCCCATGCTTTATATCACCTTGCTTCTCCCAGGTAAACATGACCTGAATGTATATTAATATGATTTTTAAAAAATAGTATCTGTCCATCTGTGCAAATTAAGCTACCATGGACTGACACTTCATAAAAATTCACATGAAGTTTTAAAGTGACCAAAGGTTAAATTTAGTTGCAGGATTATCTTTGTATCTTTTGTTATGACTTCTTTTATATAAAATCTGAATTAAAATTAAATTATTAATATTTGCACTAATACATTTTTAACAATTAATCGGATATAGTATGTATTGTGTAAGTATTGATCCACATTTAATTAATTAATTGATTGATTCATTCATTAATGGATCATTTTTAACTTGAGTGTTTAGTGTTAAGTGTTTCGCTGCCTCTCTTTTATAATTTTCCTTTTCGCATCTAGGCAGGCTACTTAGCTCTGAGAAAATTAATATTGCCATATGGCCAAGGTCTTGTTTGTGTAATTTTATTAGCCACAGACCCAGTTCAGAGGTTATGGCTTGATAGATGCGCATGTTAAATGCAGTTAACATTCTTTTTTTTTTTATTACACGTTTGTTTAGGAAGAAGGCAGACTGTGGCACTGTAGACATGTGGAAAATGATGTAATGACATAAGGCAGCAGGGAAATGCTAATGTTACAGTTCCCATCACAATGGGTCTTATATGGGTCTTATTTTTATATTGTAGAAATTTAAGACTTCGAATTTGAATCTAGTAAATAGAGCTTATTTAGCAGAGCTTCTAAAAGACCTGGAATACCTGTGTATCACAGTGCTCCTCTTGAACCCAATAACAGCATTTTTTTTTCTTTTTTCTTCGGCTGCTCCCATTAGGGGTCACCATGGCGGATCATTGTTCTGCATATTTGATTTGGCAACCCTCCCCATTTTTTTTTAAAACCGGGCTTGGGACCGACTCTGGGAGTGCACTGACTTGTGCATCCCCAGTGGCTGTGGTTGGTTCCCTGGCCAGGAATCAAACCCGGGCCACAGTGGTGATTGCACAGAGGCCTAACCACTAGACCTCCAAGGTCCCAACAGCATTATTTTCCTCATATTCATATGGCCAATAATGAGGTGCGCTTCAGCATCAAAATTTATACTCAGACATGTCAGCGAAAAAAGCCTAAATGTGTGTGCGTGTGTGTGTGTGTGTGTGTGTGTATTTATTCCTTTATTTGTAGCAAATGTCCCCATAAATTTTTAAGTACACTTGGCTTGTGCCCATAATAAAGCTTTTAAAGCTAGATATAAAGCTTCTGTATTTAAGACTGAATTTTGCCATCTTTGCTAGAAAATGCTAATACAATTTTTTCACAGAGGGGAATTTCCTAAAGTGGGTTGTGCTTTGCCCTTCTCCTGTGAATGGGAAATCATCTTCTTTCCTAGCTTTTTTTCCCCACAAAGGTGCAGGGTCTGCTGTCTTGCATGCCTTCCTCCACTTTGTTTGAGCCACATTGCCATTTCCAAGCATTTTCCAGATTTCAGCTGGGACATCATCCAGGCCAGTCATTTTCCCATTCTTTATCTTTCTGATAGCTGCTTTGAACTCTTTGGTGGTAATTGGCAAAGTAGGTCCAGGAATGGGTGGCGGTTTTGGTATTGGGTAATGTGGGAATGTGAGCGGCAAGTAATACACATAAATGTAGAACTGTATTCCACACTGCAGCCTTCACAATAAATAGGATGCCACTGGTGTATGACATACTGTTTGGTATGGTAGTATACTTACATTTTAGCTGGCTAGCCAACATTAGGTGACTAATTTATTCTGCAGGATACCTGTTCATGATCACCAGACTTCTAATCCCACACACACAGTACCTGATATACAAGCACCCATCATATGCTCTAGACTGTTTAGTTACTCTTTGTTACTCTAGGTGTCACACCAGCTTTATTGCCTGTGATGTCATTAAGCCATGTATCATTGTGTTTGCTTCTCTGGCTCTGACTTTGCTGAATTTATAAGTCTTGCAATTCTTTTTAGTTCATATCAGCTTGGACATAATTTGTCCCTTTGCCTGTTTTCTGATTTTTGATTGCTTTGACAGTCCTTCAGTTTTGTATGGATGCTATAGTGGAGTCTATAGTCAGTTTCCACTCAAGCAGTTTCCCCTCAGGGGCAGGTTGTAGCTTGACGACATCCACAACACTTTAGCCGAATTATTTAATCAATTGCTGCTGCTAGGTCCACCTCCAGCAACTTTGTCTACATCAATTACCCAAAAGCCATCCTGTCATCACTCAGCCTGATGAGTATGAATGAGCTCCAGCCAAGTGCCAAGTTTTTCTATTGCAGTGCAATCTGACATTGGACAATACCTTGCCTAGTTGATTTCACTGCTCACAGGGAAGGCTTTAGCCTGGACTGCGGCCATATGGTCTTATGGGGTGAGGTCCTACAGTCTTATGACTGTTTCTTAATGCTTTTCCGCACTGTGTTCAATCACCCTTCTAAGGACAAAGAAACCGATAAGTGCCTACTCAAAAAGGGCAAAAGATTGTATGCCATAGAGTTCAGAATGTTGGTGGGAGTGAATGGGGCAAACCGGCCCTCACTGCCACTTTTTGCTAGGGACATTGAAAGGATGTCCTCACAAAGCTGAAGGACAGTCATTCCTCATTGCATTACCTCTATTAGAGAGCTGACAACCTGCTCTCACTCATTTCACTTCAAGTAAGGAGGATAGTCAAGCCTATGATTGTATGATTGGGCACAATTTGGACAGACTAACCATGTAATAATGGAAAAACACTGGGAGAGGGGGCTATGCTTTTACACTGATCAGTGTCCCAGTGCTATACCACTAATATGTTGAATATGCTACAATCTTTTCCTACGAAACCATTTTTATTACCAATAATCTTGCATTGTTCAGACACCAAGTCCACTCTTGCAGTGCTCATCAATACTAAGAGACTTTAAACTTTTAATTATGATCTGGTCCTGCACTTTCAGCTTAAAACTCAACCACTGGTATCACCCATGCATGTTCAAGACACTGAAGACAGAAACATAAGAGATGAAAAACTCAATCATGGCACTCTGCATTTCTGCCTTGATATAAGCATGTTCCACAGTTCAGACCATTGCTCTGTCACCCAGTTACCCTATAGTCCTTGGACTTACCTGGCTTCAGATGCACTAATTCCCAAGTCTGACCAAGACATCCTGATATAGTTCTCCCTCACCCTGTCATCACCATAGAATCCACTGCCATTTAATGTCCTAAGGTGAAACAGTTACCAGAAATGTTACTCAGATTATCATGAAGATTTTAGTAAAGTCAAAACATGTGTTCTTCCCCCTCATCAATATTACAAATGCATATTTGACACAAGTTTATCTCTTATCACCTGCAAAAAAAAGACCATGGAAGAATACATATATTATTAACAAGCCATTAAAGGCTATATAAGACCCTCCATGACACCAGCATTCACTGGTTTCTTAACTGTTCAAAAGAAAGGGTGTGGATTTTCATTAGACATTCACTATAGATAGCTGAACCAAATTATAGTTAAATATTAATATTTGCCATTGCTCTTGTCAGATCTAGAACAATTGAAATCAGCTCATATATTCACTAAAGTCGACCTCAGAAGTGCCTATATTCTAACTCAAATTAGAGAATGTAATGAAGACTTTAATATAATTTTTTGGACACTATAAATTGTAGGTCAGGCTGTATTTGATCAATGCCCTCTCCATGTTCCAAGCATTTATTAATGACATTTTCAGGGATATGGTTGTAAAATTTGTTATAGGTTTTATTGATGATATTTGGATGTACGCCTTGGCTCTAATAGTGGGGTCTGGGGAGTCCCAGGGCCCATGAAGCACAGCCTGGGGGTCTGTGATTTTTTATTTTTTTTTTAAGTTTTGCTATAGTAGGGGAAAACACAAACCACCTTTATCCAAAGTTACATTTATTATTGCTTTTATTGAGTCATTAGCTTATTTGACCTCAGTAACTCAGCAACTGCCAGGCCCATGAATAATGTTAACTTAAACCTAATGACAAGTTAACATTATTTAATAAAATGTAATAAACAAAGTTTTATAAAAAAAAAAAAAAAAAATTGAATAAAAATGTTTCACATGAGAGGAAAGGAAGAAAAAGCTCTATGGCTCAACTAAATAGCCAAAATATTATTGTACACATTTAAACGATGTGCTTAATTATTTGAAATGTTGGGTTGTGTTTGTAAAATAAATCTGTCCTGAGGGATCCGCAGATTTTATTTTATGGCTGCAAAGAGGTTGAGAACCTCTGCTTTAGAGGAATTACTGGGGTGGAACTCAACTCCTTGGAAAAGGTGTCTGAAAGAGGGATGCTGCAGAAACTACTGGACATCATGAACAATGACTCTCGCCAATTACACCGGACATTGGAACAATATAGAAGCACCTTCAGTGGGAGGATGAGACCACCAAGGTGCTCCACAGAACACCACAGGAAGTCATTCCTCCCAGTTGCTATTCAACTCTACGACATCTCTCATTTCTGTCAGAGTGAGCTCGAGTACTGAGTCTGGGCAAGGGTGTTTTTTTGGCTGCAACAGGCATACTGTAACTTGAAGGTTCACTTGTCACTTTTACTTCACTTGTCACTTTCGGACTCAGATACATAACTTTATAACTTTGGAACTAGGATAATAATACTTTTTTATTGTATAGTGTTTTATTATTTTTGGTTTTTCATTTAAATTTTTCTTATCTTTATTTACTTCATTATTGACATTTTTATACTTTCATAGTGTAATAAAGTATTGTATATATACTGCATAGACTTTATGGATTATACACATGCAGTTTTTTTTTCTGTTTCTTCTGTTTCTGCGCTTGGTAGTACAAATAGGTGCATCAGAGCCAGGAGTGGGAGTTGTGCTTTCCAAACATCTGGGAAGTCCAACTTTATTTTATTCCATAGTCTCTTTTTCACTCTCATCCATTGAAAGAATCGACAACGTAGGTAACAGTGAGTTTGCCAGCATGGAATTAAATCTATAATTCTCTATATCAAAAATGAAAAATACATTTTATTACCTGCTCCTTGATCACAAAGAGACGTGATTTTGATTCCCAAGCTATACTCAAACAAATATGTCAGTGCCAGCCTCTGTTCTAACTATGCCAGCCATTAAAGCACAAAACTGCTGAATATGCAGATAGAAGCTGCTAGCATGAATTTGCTGACTGCATAGCTCAATGTGTGCACAGGATTCATAAGTTCCTGAACAACAGAACTTTTAGTATGACTTTTTAAGAGATGTTTTAAACAATGACATATCAAAAATGCTAGAGGTTGAAAGATGGGTTCTTATTTAAATGTAAAGGGACAATGCCACTTGGATGCAGATTTGCATCACAGTAGCCTAAATACAATGAAAACAACCTGACATGATCATTAGGAAATCCTATTAATGGACCAAAAACTACACAATTTTAATTAGTTCAAAGTTGTAATAACCACTAACAAATCTTGTACTGTTGTGTAGGATATGAAAAAGCAGTATAACTCAAGAATGAGTCACTGCTAATAATGGTGCTGAGCAGCCATTTCTATTATCTCTATTATTTATTAATCTGCATCAAATCCACACTATGGCTGTCCTCCATCAGTACTTGCAGTTCTTGATGGATTTAATTTCTGATTTAATGACCACACAATAACATGACTAGCTAGCTTGTTTACATACTTATTGAGTTTCACAGCTTGAACTCTTAACAAAGATAAGACGATTAACACATCTTTGGTTGGTTCCACTGTCACTTCCAAATTATGTTGGTGGTTAATTGGATGCCTACATCTTTCTGTCTGTCTCCTGAGGTCCTAACCAATGGATAAGCTAGCTTGACTTTATCTACTCAGACATCATGGAGAAAAAAACGAATGGGCTAATTTTCTTTAGTGCATTTCAATATGTTAACCTTTTAGTGTAAAAAAAAGAAATATATTACATAAATAAATAAAATATTTAATATAATAACTAAAGATATAATAACTAAACTAATGTAACTAAACA